CAAGGCACCTAAGCACCTCACACACTCAACACCTAAGCACCTAACACCTCATACACACAACACCTGAGCACCTAACACCTCACACACTCAACACCTGAGGACATAACACCTCACACTCAACACCTGAGCACCTAACACCTCACACACTCAACACCTGAGCACCTAACACCTCATACACTAAACACCTGAGCACCTAACACCTCACACACCCAACACCTAATGCCTCACATACTAAACATCTGAGCACCCAACACCTGACATACCCAACACTTAAGCACCTAGCACCTCACACACTCAACAACTGAGCACCTAACCACCTCACACACTCAACACTTGAGCAACTAACACCTCACACACTCAACACCTAAGCACCTCACACACTCAATACCTAAGCACCTCACACACTCAACACCTAAGCACCTAACACCTTTGCCGGGCCACCACTTGGAAGGGCCCGGGCCGGGAGAATTCCGGTGAATCTTTAACAACAACAACACCTAACACCTCACACAGTCAACACCATAGCACCTAACACCTCACACAGTCAACACCTGAGCACCTAACACGTCACACAGTCAACATCTGAGCACCTAACACGTCACACAGTCAACATCTGATAAGAAGGGCAAAAAAATTGTATTATGAGAACAGATTATCCAACTTACGAGGTGATATAAAAAAGACCTGGAAAACCCTATCAGAAATTCTGGGAACAAACAAGATATCACGAAATAGCGAAATAAAATTAGCAAAATCAGATGAACCCCAACTCCCACCAACAGAAACAGCAAACAGACTCAATGATTTCTTCTCCACTATAGGACAAAACCTTGCCAATAAAATCCCAAGCTCAGATACCCCACCAAATGACTACCTCACCGGCAACTACCTGAACACACTGTTCCTAGCTCCGACTAACCCATACGAAGTCTCCCTTATTATCAACGCACTAAAAAACAAGGCAGGAGATTTAAATACCTTACCACCCTTTATATACAAAAAAGTGTCACAAGTGCTATCACCAATCATTGCAACACTCTTTAACAAATCCATTGAATCCTCCACCTTCCCTACAGTACTCAAAATAGCAAGGGTCACCCCGATCCACAAAGGAGGAGACCAAACAGAGTTGAATAACTATAGGCCAATATCCAACTTACACCCTCTCTCAAAAATCTTCGAAAAATTAATTCATAAACGAATCTACTCCTACCTTATCTCCCAAAACATACTCAACCCCTGCCAATTTGGATTCAGGCCTAATAAAAATACTAATGATGCTATTATACACATGCTAGAACATATATACACTGCAATAGAGAAAAAAGAAGTCCCACTGGGGATCTTCATTGACTTACGTAAAGCTTTTGATACAGTTGACCATGACTTGCTCCACGTAAAATTGTCACACTATGGTATAAGAGGGCACTCCCTCAACTACCTCAAGTCATACCTCAGCAACAGAAGCCAATATGTGTACGCAAATGGGGCAAACTCTTCTGCACAACCAATTACAGTTGGTGTCCCACAGGGAAGTGTCCTTGGCCCTCTTCTCTTTCTCCTATACATAAATGACCTACCAAATGCTTCGCAATTACTCAAACCCACACTATTTGCTGATGACACAACATACGTCTTCTCCCACCCGAGCCCAGTCACGCTAGCCAATACTGTAAATACCGAATTACAGAAAATATCTACCTGGATGAGTACTAACAAACTTACACTAAACATTGACAAAACCTACTTCATTCAGTTTGGTAACAGAGCTACAGATGTCCCTCTTAACATAATGATAAACGGATCACCTATCACAAAGCTAACAGAGGGAAAATTCTTAGGAATCCACCTTGATAATAGACTCAAATTTCATACACATATACAACAAATTTCTAAGAAAATTTCCAAGACTGTAGGCATACTATCGAAGATACGGTACTATGCTCCACAGTCAGTCCTCCTGGCCCTATATCACTCTCTTATTTACCCCTATCTCACCTATGGAATTTGTGCATGGGGCTCAACAACAAGTAACCATCTCAGACCACTAATTACCCAACAAAAGGCTGTAGTTAGAATGATAACAAATTCTCACTACAGGCAGCACACTCCACCAATATTCAATACACTCAACCTACTCACCATACAAAACATCCATACTTATTACTGCACCTATTACATACATAGAACACTCAACTTGATATTAACCCTCCCCTCAAACATCTCCTTGCCAACCTCAACAGAAGACATGACCATAACACAAGGCACAGATCACTCTTTGATATTCCTCGTGTCCATCTCACGCTATGCAAAAACTCAATGCACATAAAAGGCCCTAAAATCTGGAATTCATTACCTGTAAATATAAAAGAAACACTACCTGTTTATAAATTCAAGTCTCTTCTCAAAGATCACTTACTCACTCAAAACCAAATAAATACTGAATAACTGAACCTTATAAATTGTATATCTTAAATGCTTCTCACAATTATATCACATAAATGTTAAACCTAAAACCCAATCTAACTTTATTATTTTTTAAATACACTACCTAACAGAATACTCCATTCTACTGAATTTACAACAATGCATGCAACCATATGACCTGTCTTTGTAATACTCACTTGTGCTTTATAGTAATCTGTTTACATTAATGTTTTTCACTGATTTCATCATTGCTTAGTTAATCTAAAGTTAATTTTAAGCCAGCCCGTAATGCTATGCATAGTATAAGTGGCTTTGGCATGCTGCTCTTGTCTGTATTTTTTTGTACCTCTGTATGTGTGCTCAAATTATAAATAAATAAATAAATCTGAGCACCTAACACCTCACACAGACAACACCTGAGCACCTAACACCTCACACAGACAACACCTGAGCACCTAACACGTCACACAGTCAGCATCTGAGCACCTAACACCTCACACAGACAACACCTGAGCACCTAACATGTCACAGTCAACATCTGAGCACCTAACACCTCACACAGACAACACCTGAGCACCTAACACGTCACACAGTCAACATCTGAGCACCTAACACCTCACACAGACAACACCTGAGCACCTAACACGTCACACAGTCAGCATCTGAGCACCTAACACCTCACACAGACAACACCTGAGCACCTAACACGTCTCAGTCAACATCTGAGCACCTAACACCTCACACAGACAACACCTGAGCACCTAACACGTCACAGTCAACATCTGAGCACCTAACACCTCACACAGACAACACCTGAGCACCTAACACGTCACAGTCAACATCTGAGCACCTAACACCTCACACAGACAACACCTGAGCACCTAACACGTCACACAGTCAGCATCTGAGCACCTAACACCTCACACAGACAACACCTGAGCACCTAACACGTCACACAGTCAGCATCTGAGCACCTACCACCTCACACAGACAACACCTGAGCACCTAACACGTCACACAGTCAACATCTGAGCACCTAACACCTCACACAGACAACACCTGAGCACCTAACACGTCACAGTCAACATCTGAGCACCTAACACCTCACACAGACAACACCTGGAGCACTAACACCTCACACAGACAACACCTGAGCACCTAAACACGTCACAGTCAACATCTGAGCACCTAACACCTCACACAGACAACACCTGAGCACCTAACACGTCACACAGTCAACATCTGAGCACCTAACACCTCACACAGACAACACCTGAGCACCTAACACGTCACACAGTCAACACTGAGCACTAACACCTCACACAGACAACACCTGAGCACCTAACACGTCACAGTCAACATCTGAGCACCTAACACCTCACACAGACAACACCTGAGCACCTAACACGTCACACAGTCAACATCTGAGCACCTAACACCTCACACAGTCAACACCTGAGCACCTAACACAGTCAACAAGACAGACGGAGATATGATCAAGTCTGGCGCCTCGCCGCATGAATGTTGTATTGTTATAAAGGAAGATGTCACCTGTGTCATAATAAAGGAAGATGTCACCTGTGTCATAATAAAGGAAGATGTCACCTGTGTCATAATAAAGGAAGATGTCACCTGTGTCTAATAAAGGGGAGATGTCACTGTGTCATAATAAAGGAAGATGTCACCTGTGTCATAATAAAGGAAGATGTCATGTGTCATAATAAAGGAAGATGTCACCTGTGTCATAATAAAGGAAGATGTCACCTGTGTCATAATAAAGGGAGATGTCACCTGTGTCATAATAAAGGAAGATGTCACCTGTGTCATAATAAAGGGAGATGTCACCTGTGTCATAATAAAGGAAGATGTCACCTGTGTCATAATAAAGGAAGATGTCACCTGTGTCATAATAAAGGAAGATGTCACCTGTGTCATAATAAAGGAAGATGTCACCGTGTATAATAAAGGGAGATGTCACCTGTGTCATAATAAGGAGATGTCACCTGTGTCAAATATAAAGGGAGATGTCACCTGTGTCATAATAAAGGAAGATGTCATGTGTCATAATAAAGGAAGATGTCACCTGTGTCATAATAAAGGAAGATGTCACCTGTGTCATAATAAAGGAAGACGTCACCTGTGTCATAAAGGAAGACGTCACCTGTGTCATAATAAAGGAAGATGTCATCTGTGTCATAATAAAGGAAGATGTCACCTGTGTCATAACTAAAGGAAGAGGGTCACCTTTTCATAAATAAAGGAAGATGTCACCTGTGTCATAATAAAGGAAGATGTCACCTGTGTCATAATAAAGGAAGATGTCACCTGTGTTATAATAAAGGAAGACGTCATCTGTGTCATAATAAAGGAAAAATGTCACCTGTGTCATAATAAAGGAAGATGTCATCTGTGTCATAATAAAGGAAGATGTCACCTGTGTCATAATAAAGGAAGATGTCACCTGTGTTATAATAAAGGAAGACGTCATCTGTGTCATAATAAAGGAAGATGTCACCTGTGTCATAATAAAGGAAGATGTCACCTGTGTCATAATAAAGGAAGATGTCACTCACTTGTGTTAGAAGAAACAATGCAAAAAGTTTCTTGTTTGTTTGTGTGTTGGGTTTATAAGGTCCTCTGACAACTTATGTTGTATCGATCCCGACTCCCTGACTACCTTGTACAAGTACATGTACAAGGTATACCAGTACATGTACAAGGTATACCAGTACATGTACAAGTTTTACCAGTACATGTACAAGGTATACCAGTACATGTACAAGGTATACCAGTACATGTACAAGGTATACCAGTACATGTACAAGGTATACCAGTACATGTACAAGGTATACCAGTACCATGTACAAGATATACCAGTACATGTTACAAGTATACCAGTACATTTACAGGTATACCAGTACATGTACAAGGTATACCAGTACATGTACAAGGTATATGCGTACATGTACAAGGTACACCAGTACATGTACAAGGTACACCAGTACATGTACAAGGTTTACCAGTACATGTACAAGGTATTACCAGTACTGTACAAGGTATACCAGTACATGTACAAGATATACCAGTACATGTACAAGGTATACCAGTACATGTACAAGGTATACCAGTACATGTACAAGGTATACCAGTACATGTACAAGGTATACCAGTACATGTACAAGGTATATCAGTACATGTACTATGGAAAATTTTCTAGGGGTGATTATCTTTATGTACTTCAACATTACATGCTTACAAGTAAACTCATTGGGAGACAACCATATTGTTTACCGTAGTCACCCTGTGTAGACATGTGAGAAAACTTAACCACCCTTGGTCACGGCAAGTGGTTCCTCCGACCTCACAATCTTATCCATATCTATCCGAGACCAGTATGGATTGGATAGCACCCACAAGTACGGTGCTACTAATTAATTGTGGACTGTATAGATTATATTAGGGTAGCTGAATGAAGGAAGGGGGGGTAGGTTACACATGGATATATCCATCAAGGAAAAACACTTGTACATAATCTCTCCACTTACCAGATATTCTCTGGTGGTCATTTGATGTAGCTGGATCACTCATAACCTATCCAATTACAACATACCTAACTGGCCAGTATCAGTCTGCTATAACTGGAAGGGTTACTTAACTGTGGGTGATTGATACTCCTTATTTCCTCCATTCACCATCTCATTTCGATGTCCTGCTACACCGACATGGTTCTATTCCAGCAGACGAGGTATCCGTCGGTTTGTCCGGGTTTAAAAAGTCGTGCTTCCATAAAGCTTCACTATCCTTGGTACGAGAATCACGCATTCACTCGGAGCAGGGCGATCTTTTTCACGTCCTGCATTCTCTTAACTAAATTTTTTATTATCACTGATTACATTACCATTCACAAACGATTAACGTCTCATAATTTTTATACACATTAAGGCACTCCTTTAAGACTGAGGCCCGATGACGAGGTTTAACAAAGGGGTTTTTCCCCTGGACACCACCATGGCCGCGCACCAGTCACCCGGTAAAACCCATTTCACAAATTTTTTACCACCTTTTTACTGTGGTCCCGTAAATCACTTCCCTCACTCTTCACCGGGAATATTACGACACTTCCATTATAAAAGGGCCTATAAAACCCTTTTGGGGCCGCCGTGAATCCCCAATTTCCGGGCCCCCAGCTTTCCCAGCCTCCCACCACATTAAAAACACTCCTGCCTCCCCCGGGCCCGAGTCACCTATCCCCCCACCCGCCAGTGAAAAGGGAAACCCTTTTGGGTTCTATCCTATTGTCAAATACATTTTGACTAAAAATCAACACATTAAACCCTATTAGGCGCTATAGTTTTCGGAAAATCAAAAATTTTTCCACACTGGGGCCCGGGGCGGGGGTCTTTGCTAGACACTTACATAATGGGGAGTAAAATTTTCCCCCTCTTCACGGCCACCCCTGGCTTGGAAAACTCCAAAAATGGTTTTTTTAATAATCACCCAAATTCTTCCCTTTAACCCCAGGTAGGGCCCTCCAAAGCACACTCAAGCCCCTGTTTCGGGTTTTAACAATTTCCCTCTTTTTGTAAGGGGACACAAATCAACCTCGGGCTAATTTGCGGGCAACGGGAAAATTAGAACTTAACAATAACAAGTCTCTCTCAGTATCCCAAGTCACCCCAGCACTTTTACGCTATGGGCCCCAAACCCCAGGGCCCAAATCCATATTTTTTGATCCCCAAAATGGACTTTTTACCGGGAGTTTCCTGGGAGAGTTCCGGGGGGTCAATGCCCCCCGGCCAGGCGTGACCTGGCCTCCTGGGGATCAACCTGATAAACCAGCGGGTTGCGCCTGGGCTGCCCAAAATTCACCCCCAAGCCCGCTGTGGAACCTTAGGTGCTGCCAGTGCAGCTTGGGCCCGGGTTGTTTTTTTTTTTTTGGGGGGTTGAAAGGGGGTCATTTATTGTAAAAATATTTTTATTTACTACAAGTACATGACAAGGAACAGCCCTGCTGACAACAATGACATACTACTATATAAAAGCCCTTTTTAGCTTTCCCCTTTCGGTAATTTCGGGCAAATTTGGTCAGTGTCCCAGGATACACCCACCCAGTTTTACTAACACCCAGGTACCCATTTTCGAGGGGAACAAGACAACAGGGGGAAAGAAACACGTCCCCAAATTTCTACTCTGGCTGGGAACCAACCCGGGCCCCCGCCGTGTGAAGCGAAGCGTTTGCCACCCGCCACCCCTGCTTTTCATTGGGGGGGTGTGCACGTCTGCCAATCTTTTTTCTTTCGTATGAGTGATTTTTTCGGGGCAAGTTCGGTACAGTCCCCCCTAGGGTTTTCCCGGTTATTAATCAGTACTCTCCCCCCTGCGTTTCCAGGAATCAGGTTTAGGAAACCCCAAGCCTCCCCAAAAAATTGAGGTGTTTTTATCTCCGTTATGCGCCCGTAAAAATTCCTTTTCATTTTTTAGGTCGGGAATTTCACCTGCCTTGAAAGGTGCGTTAGTGTGCACAATATTCCAGCCTAGATAGAACAAATGACCTGAAGATGTCCTCCTATTTTGAAGGTTCTCATTTATCCCCCTCCTGTCATTTTTCTAGCAGATGCGATTGAACAATTTTTGGCCTTGAAAGGGAATCCTCCGACAAAAACACTCCCAGGTCTTTTTACGTTGGGTTTCCTCTTTTTTTCGGGAAAATTGTTTTTTTTCCCCTGTGAAGAATTTAAATTTTCCCAGTTTTCCATATCTGAGTAATTTAATTTCTCATCGTTGAACTTCATATGTTCTTCTGCAGCCCACTGAAAGATTTGGTTATGCCGCCTGGGGCCTTGCAGTGTCTGCAAAGGAAACACTGTCATGCAGATTCGGGGGTCATCTGCAAAGGAAAACACGGTGCTGTGGCGACATCCTTGTCTATGCGGATTAGGATGAGGAACAAGATGGGAGCGAGTACGTGCCTTGTGGAACGAGCTTTTCACCGTAGCTGCCTCGACTTTACTCTGTTGACGACTACTTCTGTGTTCTGTTTGAGGGAAAATTATAGACCACGACCGACTTTCCTTTTATTCCTTAGCACGCATTTTGTGCGCTATTTCGCCATGGCACACTTTTCGAAGGCTTTTGCAAAGTCGTATAATTTCATCTGCATTCTTTTTTTGTCTTCTAGGCACTAGGACCCTTTTCGTATGACCAATAGTTAGACAGACAGGAGCGACCTGTTCTAAACCCATGTTCCCTGGGTTTTGTAACTGATGAGTTTCTAGAGGGTGGTGACTTGCTTCTTAGGACCCTTTCAAAGTTTTTTTGAAATGGGATGTTAGGCTATTGGCTGTAGTTCTTTTCGTTGCTTTTTCTGCCCCCTTTTTGGGGGGGGCTAGTCTGTTGTTTTTAGTAACTGTGGGACGACCCCCGTTCCCTGCCCCCTCCTAGTGGGAAAAGGGCCCTGATAGGGGGTTTTTTCAGTTATTGAGAACACAGATTTTTATATCGGCCCCGGGGGAAGTGCATGGGCATTCTTTTTCCCTGTTCGAAGTCATTTGGCGTCAGGATAACTCGGATAGGCTTGTGTTAATCAAATTTGTGGCTCTCTCATAAAAAATTCATTTTGATCTCGACTCTCAGTCTGGTTGGGCGGCTTGCTAAAAACGAGTCATATTGGGACTTGAGTAGCTCACTTCATTTTCCTTGCTGTCATCTGTGTAGGACCCATCTTGTTTAAGTAGGGCCCAATACGGGACGTTGTTCTCGATTTTGATTTGGCACAGGAGAAGAAATATTTTGGGTTTCTTTCCGATTTCATTTATGGTTTTTTAGTTCTTCCCGCGATTTCCTGACTCCTAAAGGATTCTTTTAGCTTAAGTTCGATGCTTGCTATTTCTCTGACCAGTGTCTCCCTATGCATTTCAGAATATTGACCTCTTTTAGCCGCTCTGTTTATTCTTTTCCATCCCCTGTAAAGGGGCGCCTGTCTCTTTCTGTTTTACATCTACTCCTCCTTTTTCTTAGAGGAATAAGCCTTGTGCATACATCGAGTGCCACCGAGTTAATCTGTTTTAGGCATAAGTTGGGTCTGTGTTGCTTTATATATCTCCCCAGCTTATATCGGGTTAGGACTTGGTTTACTTGGTCCCACTTTATGTTTTTGTTATTGAAGTTGAATTTGGTGAATGCTCCCTCGTGACTAATCTCATTATGTCGGTCTGGGGCTCCGTGCATACATGACTGAACCTCAATTATGTTGTGATCTGAGTATATTTTTTTTGATATGGTGACATTTCTTATCAGATCATCATTGTTAGTGAAGATGGGGTCTAGTGTTTTCTCCAGTCTAGTGGGCCTATTATTTGCGGGTTTAAATTGAATTTTGTGCAGAGATTTAAAAGCTCGCGTGAGTGTAAGTTTTCATCAGAGCTGCCTCCTGGTGTTATTACTGCAACAATATTATTTGCTATATTCCTCCATTTTAGGTGCCTTAAGTGAAATCCCCCAGGAGCAAGATGTTTGGGTGCAGGAGCTGAAGGTTTTTCCAGACAGTGGCCCAATTTTAACAGCTGTTCCTGGAATTGCTGGATGTTGAAATCCGGAGGCTTGGAGACTGCCACAATGACTAGGTTTTGGTTCTCGACCTTTACTGCAAAAACCCTTCCACTACATCATTTGAGGCATTTACAGTTCT